CCACTGCACTTCCATACCACTTATGTCAAACCATAAACATAAGCAAATGTTGTAAGTCCTGAGCCCTGCTGATAAATGATGATTGTAATCAAATCATAAATATTAATTACTTGTTAAATATTAATTATTTGTTAAATATAAATTTACTTAGGTGGTCCATGTCATCCATGGTTATTTATTGAAGAAGCAGCAATGACCGAAGTTGAAAGGGATTATAGTTCTGTTTATAGTAGATTAATGTTATGTAAAACATATAGGTTAGATGAAGATGGCAAAGTATTAACTCCAGAAGAAGTAATTATAATGTTTTAATTTATTGAATGTAATTTTAAATAATAAAGTTTTTATGTACATAATGTTTGGATTAATAATCTTTACTTTCAAAATATTAATATTAATATCTAATTATAAATAATAAATACTTCATAACAATAATTCAAATATTCGTTTTTAGCTTTTATATAGGTGTATTCAATGTATAAATCAAAGTCATGATGCTGCTGGTTGTCAAATGGATGTAAAATTAAGAAGTCTTGTTTGTCTTGGTCTTAATGAACAAGCGTTACATCTATGGTTAGAGCTATTGTGTTGCTCTGATCAAGTTGTTAAGAAATGGTGATAGTTCTAATTATACAAAAATAAAAAACCGTTTTTAATTATTCCTTTATATATTAGGTATCAGCCGTGGAGTTTTGTTTGCAGTCCAGGATGGGTGCAAGTGAAATGCGAGTTAAGGGTCTTATCACAATTTCCATTTAATTTAAATCCAGATTGGGAACTACCTCCAAAAAAAGAAAATACTCAGACATTAAAAGCGGGTGTTAGAGATATGCTAGTGAAACACCATTTATTTAGTTGGGATCTTTAATAGTATTTAATTCCATTGTACAGCGATTACATAGTATATTTGATATTATAATATTTATTTTAAATTCTAAAATGTACATATTCCTTATAATTATTAATTTATTAATTGTTGTTTTTTCCATTTATTTTACTGAATCTTTTATTTGTGTGGCTGTGAATTTTATTTCAAATATTAAAATTATGTATAAATATATCTGCGTTTGTGACTTTTTTAATTTTAAAATGTACCTATTAAATTAACTGCATACAAATAATATTCTCATCATTATGGAGTATTGAATGAAATAAGTTAATTTTATAATATTAAATTGTTTACAGTCAGTTTGAATACTTAAATCTTGATAAATAATTTTATACAAACCATTTATCAGAAGCAAAACTACATATGAGTAAAGGGGGTTATCCATGTGTCTCATCGTTTAAGGGGCTTTGTAGTAAAAAAAATTTTAAAAAAATGCAGTTAATTGTACTTATTTTTCATAAAAATATAAGATACAGTGCACTTTTGTAATACCTAGTTCAAGTAAACTTACTGGAATAAGTCATTTATTTTAGTTGTATTTTACGATTGAGTGCAATACGTGATGAGGAGATCATTATACAAAAATGTTGACGGATGAATTTGAAGACTAGTCCAACAGAACTTGGCACACAAATTGAATTGTTCAAATTTCTGTTTGCTTCTAAACTTAAATCTTATCATACTATTTTTATTTTTATTTTTTTAATAACTAAATTACTAACAATGTAATTAGTAATTTCCTTGATTTGTTAAAATTTTACTTGTTTCTTAAATTACTAAAGTGCTGAAAAGATGTTTTAAAAACTTAAATTAATTAAATCCAAATATGGCTTAGTGGCCTCGCAACGATTCATTAGGAAATATGTAACCAAAAAATTTAATTTATAATTGTCGGTAAGATCGAAGCAGAAAAAAATGATTTTCATTGTAATTATAATATTGGTGTTGTCCAGGAGACCAGGAATAAATAAAACTGAGATGACAAATCCACCTCTGGTGCATAGTAATAAGTAACTTTTTTTTCTTACTTGATTACGTGAACCAATCACAAGCATAAATTTGTTATCCGTGGATGATTCTATTCTAATAACCTTACAACTTTTCCATAAAACCAAATAATGTAATTCAAAATTTGGTGCCAATTGGTCAACAATTGTGGATTTGCATATGCATCTTTTAGATATAAGCCTACTAATATAAAACTAAAAAAAATATCTGTATTAGCTGACTATTTATTATAATCAATCCATCTATCATTTCCATTTTGCTACAGTTGAAATATCCTCATTTTTTTTTTATGTTAAAATTGTTCGAGTATTATTTTAGTATATAAAACTCAAGTCTCAACCATACACTACATGCCTCTATTATAATAACAACTGTTATTCAATTTTACATTTATATAGAACAATTGTACTAGCCTAAAAATAATAAAATATAATACAATACAGAGAATTTTATCCAATCATAATTATTTTGACCTTGGACTAACGTGTGTAAGATTAAAATTTTTATTTGGGAATGGAAGAAATTAATAATTATCCAATATTTTATTATATTCTAAGAAATGAAGTGTTTTAATGTAATATTTAAAATGTTTATGATATTATGTCGCCTATGGCCCTCAAGGTCCTGGCTTGTAGTTGGCATGTGTCTGAAATAATTACAAGATGTTTGTATTGTAGATAACACAAATTATTTCACCAAATATTAAATATCATTAATACTTCAACAATTTTTCAATTTATAGGCAACAGTACAAAATAAAAGTATGAGCATCGCATAACATCATATTATATTGTATAAGTAATAGGTATTATACAAAGTCACAAGGATAAATATACTCTTAAAAATAATATCATAAAAAAAAAACTCAAATATTTCCTTTTTCAAATAATTCATTTATTTACATACAACAAAAAAAACCCAACTTAATTAGTTTAACTAAAAATTAGGCAACGTTTTTCTGTTAACAAAATAATATAATAGCTTTAAAACAATGAACAATTAAATTATCACCCTGCGATTGAAATTTCATTACCTACATTATCTTATATACTTACTGAAAAGTTAAGACATATTTTCATAGATGCTCTATTTATAATTATTGATATACAATTTATTTTTATACTGAAACCTTGTAATTTTAGTTTAATTTTTAAAAATAATTACATCAAAGTAATATAAAATTCATGATATATTACATAGAAGCCAAATTATTAATTCAATTTTAATTTCTTTCATATAATTTTATCGTGCTTGAGCACTTGTATGATTATTTTAAGAATAATTTTTAATGAGACATATTATTTATCCAAATCATAGAGGATTAAACGAAGCACACAATTAACTTGATTGAAACCTAGACATCATGTTTATCACAGTTTATAATCATCCTCAATATAACAACAAAATATAACCAACACATCGAGATTTCAATCTTACATAATTTGTTTTTAATAAATTGAATAACTAATAAAACATAATTGATTATAATATTATATATGACGTATAGTTTTTCTAATAACAATACAAATTCATAGAATTGAGATCTAATTTAACTTAGTTTTTGAAAGTATGCTTTGTATATAAAATACAAATAAATATGACTGAAAATGAAGAATTACTGATTTTGATCAGGTTTGGATTAGATTAATTAATTTTTGTATGTCTGATAGATAAAATAAATTTTCCATTAAATTTGTATCCAATATTAAGTTTGTTAAATAAGTATTATTTAATATATAAGTGATATTATTTATTAATGTATAAGAATATTAATATTGTATTAGAATAATATATAAATTAATAAATATAATACTATAAATATTATTAAATTTAGTCTCCATATATCACCATACTTCTACATGAACCATTACATTTTAACTTAATAGAACAGTTTAATCAAAATGGTAAAACATTTTTTTTATTCTCACTATTAACTATTAAGTCTAATTTTGAATGACTAGCATCTAAATGACGGTAAAAGGCACTTGGATATAACAAAAATAAAATAAAAAATCATGCAGGTTCATGGAACATTATTAGACGAAAGAAAAAATTATCACAGCTCACTAATTCCATACATTTTATACACTGCAAATAAATATTCAACAACTGAAACTCAAATGTATATCTAATATATATATAACCATTTCTATGGTTTCATACTAAAAATAGATAATATTATTCTAACTTTTTTTAAAACAGGCTGTATCACAGTAAATTTAACAATCATAACCTTTTACAGTGGTCGGTAATAATTTACATAATATTAATTTATCACAGAAGTAAAAAAAAAAAATTAAGTTATTGTTTATACCGTCAACAAACTATATGGAGACATTGTAATGAGCCTACTGTGCTGTTCTCCATAAAAAAATTACATCAGTAGGCTATAATAATTATGTAAACAATATTGGATTAAACATTGGTAACTTAAACTGATATATCATTGGTAATCTATTTTATAATCTAAAGGTATGAAATAATATAATATTAATAAATAACATTGAAAATAAATACAAATAAACATATTTGAAAACAATAATTTGATGTAAAACAGTTCAACAAAGCAGCATTATAGCCTGCCGTATCAATCTAAATCTAGATGTATCTTTAATACGAAAAGTATTAAATTTACTTTTGAACTAATATAGCTATTTTTAGCTATGTGATAGATATTTATAAACAGATATTTAACTAGATTTATAATAATTAATCATTATAATAAAAGATAAAATGATAAATGTCTTTAAGTTTGATTAAGACTCCGAGGACAGTTATATTATTTTTTTAACTAAACGTTTTTGGTACTCTATTGACTAATATTTATTTATATATAATAATTTACCTGTGGTACGGTTGAATATTTCCAAGGCAACTTTATACTTTATATTTAAAATGGACCATCTTACAATATTTTTCTATTATCATTTCAACAACAGCTTATAAATTTTAACAATATATAACAATAACAATCAAACACTCACACAATAAAAATAACAGGTCAACGATTAATATGGATATAACTAGAAGAAAAAATTTAACTAAAGGGTAACAACAATAAATTAAACAATAACAATAAATGTATCATACGTATTTTTTTGGGTCAAGTTGATGGAAGCTTGTTTACATTATGTGAAGAATCCACTGTAGATGAATTATCCGTGGTTGTATTATTATTGTTGGGACGTGGATGTCTATAAGATACATGTTTTCTTAATGCATCCCTGGATCGAGAAACATGACTACATACTGAACAAGCATACTGTGCATTTTGGTGGGTTTCCATATGAACGCGCAAATTGTAATGATTACTAAGCTGTTTTCCACATATGAAACACATTGTATACAGCTTGGATACAGGTGTTCGTGATTTGATATTATCTGACTGTGAACCCTGTACAACTGGACCTATAAACCGTACATAGTTTTGTAGTTGAGTAGTTAACACAATAAAAATATTAACTTATGGCCTTTCAATAAATAATATTTTTTAGTATATATTATACATAGATGAAATTATTACTATTAAAAATTCACTATAATTATTAATTGTTATAACTAACTCTGCTGCTTCTAAAGTTTTTAATAGTTAAGACTGTTTTTAAAAAAATGTGATACAAAAACTTATTTAATAAAATATAATATCTACAGCAAAAAGAATCAAAACATATTCTTGCTTTTTTAACTAAGCCCACTTAAAATCCATTAATAAAACTTCAGATGATCTATTTAGAAAACTATAATGTGTCAGCACCCCAGTATAGTATGATATAAATTATTGTTAGAAATGTATGACAATTAGGTACATTATTAAGTTAATCCTGTTATTCCTATTATATTTTATAAAATACTTAAAAGTAATTAACTATTCTAACGGTAATATACTTGTATTAAATTACATAAGTGCATACCTTGAACTAAATCTGTAGGTGTTGGAGCTTCTTCACCGTAAGATACGTGTATTTCTGATGTGGACGGTTTATGGTCAACAGTAGTTGCTAAGTTTACAGTATCGTCTTGATTATCATTTTCTGGAACACGCTTACTTAGATCTTGAGCAACATCTAAATCCGCAAAAACTTCAGTTTCACTTAATGTTGGTCTTGACATCACCCTGTTATTAAAGGACTCTGATTCTTCAACTCGTGGTCTTTTCCATTTGGATGATTTCTCAAATGTGCCAGATGTATAACCAGGTACCTGTTAAGTAATTTTAAAATTTGCCTGTGATTTAAATATTAAATTTAATCAAAAATTGAGAATTTCCCTAGCATTGGTGTAAGAATTCATTACCGATATAGATTTCAGAATATTATATTATATGAAAAAAAGTAGGTAAATTAATAAACTATATTTTTTATATCATATACATTGACCAATTTTTTTAACTATGATCTATAAATTAGTAATATTACTCATTTTAAATAAATCATATTATTTATATGACATTAAATAAATAAACAATATTTTATTTTAATTTTCAAACTAATTTAAGTTTTTTTTTTATTTTAGCTGATAAAATAAATAATTTTAAAAAGAAAATCTGAAAAAATATTTTTATTTTTTTCATAATATACCTAGTATCTAAAAATGAAAACTAATTGGGTTCTTTTTTAAATTTTTTTTTATTTTCAGTCAGTAACAAAAAATGTAATTCAATTATTAGACAAAATTACACTAGCCAGATAATAACTGTTAAAATTAATTAGGTTATCAAGCTATACAACTTAAAACTTTAAAAAAATCAATACCTACATTAGAAAACTCAGCCAAGCCTTTAATATGTAATGTATCAGCCATGGAAAGCATGCTAGCTAGTTGATGTTCATAAACATTTACTTCACCGCTGTACATAAATGTGACTAGAGCACAGAGATCAGTAAATTCAACGCCAGGCAAAACAATCACTGGATGATGGCTTGCTCCTAATTCCTGAAACAACAATAATAATTATATTATCAAATAAATAAATAGATATGTATAATATAAATTAAGAATATTATATCAACTTACATTAGATATTACACTAGAAGTTATTAACTCCATAAAAATGTTATTTAGTAATTTTTAAATATTAACCCTTTTACTGCTCCAGACATACTAATACGTCGCTGTATTTTATAATATTCTCATTTTCCGGTGACTGTACAAGTTTTGGAAACTTGGCTCACATTATTTTAAACTTAACTAATTTGATCATACTGATGTCAAAATCAAAAAAACATATTTTATTTTACGTCGCATATACAGGTTGCACTGGATAAATAGTGTACCAGTGAAAGGGTTAAATAAAATAATATAGTTCAGAATAATATGGATTTCTTTTACACTTCAAAATATATTATAACAGAAAAAATTCCTTAATTTTAGTCTAAAAATTGCAATATTTAAATAACAGGATTTACAAATTGTTTAACTTTTAACTCTTGTCTACTATTTGTTAACCTCCGGAATATATTAATGTAATACATTTTAATTCAGTGATAAATTATTAATGTTAAGTTATTTATAAAAGACAAGTTAGGAAAGCACATTCTGTAATAGTGTTAAATTTGCGGTTTTTAAATGTATTTTATAATAATAATACAATAATATCCTGTGTCAAGGTAAACTAATAGAGACAAGTGTATAACTCTTAAACTGTATATAAGTACTTTTCAAATACAATTATTTACTAATATTAATAAAATATTCTAGATACAATTAATTAAAATAATATATTATAACTTCTGGTGAAAATTATTTTAAGTAAGCCCTTTAACTTATGTAAAAAAGATTATTAGTACAAATAAAAATTAAAGATATACATAGACACCTTTATTTTTAAAATATGAACATATATATTATATATGTAATTTGATTATACACCCTTTTATATTTTTTAGTGATATTACAAGCCCTAATTTTTGAGTACTTATGTTTTAAAACCAAACCAAAACTAGAATTGTTTTATTCGAAACCTAATTTGAACTTCTAAAAACTTTTTAAGAACATTTTATGTTGATAAAATTGTGACAAATATTCAAAATTATTATTTTCACCCTAACAATTTATTTTTAACCGTTCTTCATCAAATTCAGTACATATAATTTTGATTTAATTGGTCTAATTTTTAAATTAAACTACTGGTAATTTGGTTCAGTATGATGTTTGAATATTTGAAATTTTCTGCTTTGAAAAATCAAACAGTTTGTAACATCATTAATAGTACTACAAAATCCATAAAAAAACTACAAATATAACCAAATACTAATTCCTATTGAATATTTGTGAGATCTGTAATACCTAATCTATTATTTTGATTTCTTTATTATAAATTAAAAATAAAATCTTTCAAACTAATTAAAAATTTCTTTGTTTATAATAAAACTAATATAAAAATAAAATCTTCTTACTTTTGTGAGTGCTTTAAATAACTGTTTGAAATAGTCACTACATGCAGACAAAACCACACGATGTGCTTTAAGTGTTCTCAAACCAGCACATAATGTAACATCAGTCAGATCATCATGATTTAAAAGCTGAGGCAGAGTTGACATAAGTGAACTTTGGTAATTATGCCATCTGAGACAGAACTGTTGCGACTCCTCTGTACTCATTCTGTGAATGTAGGTTTCTACGTAACTGAAAATTATTTTTATTTTAACAATTTTATAATGTATAAAGACAACAGTTGTTGTATACAAATTGTTTTTTAAAATAATTTTACTGAAGATGTTTCAAAATGGTATTGGTTAGTTTCAGAAGTGCATAAAGTAATATGATACTTAAAAAATGTATTACCTTTAATCTTCTTTATATGTTTATCTTGATAGACTTATGACTTGATTTGATTTAGTTAATTTTTAAATAAACATTTTTTAAACTCTAGATTAGGTTAGCGGTCTAACATTAAAATTGTCTATAAACTTTTTTCAATATTCACTAAACATAAAATATTGTTTTAACAATAATATACTTTTATTTTTATCTAAAATAAAAATGGTTAGATTAATATTTTGAATATATTTTGTTATTTAATCAAGTATATAATATGATTTTTTCAACCCAGAGTTTAAAAAATATTAGTTTAAATAGCTACTGCTAAAAAAAAAATGAAATCATAGGTCTACCGAGATAAACACACAAAACAGATAAAAGGTAATAAATTTGATAAGTTTCAAATAACATAATACACTTCTGGAATCTAACCAATGCCATATTGAAACATCTTCAATGAAATTAATTAACTCATTATAGAAAAAAAAAACTATTTTAAAGATTAAAATAATTAAACAAAACACAGATAAAATCGATTGAACTGAAAACCTTGAACACTACAATCTAAGCTCAGTATGGTATAATTTTATATTTTATATATACTCAGTGTATCAATGTTTATACCTACCTACTTTAATAATGTGCTAAATATTAATATTATTTAATATACCTATTTATAAGTACAATAATAAAAATATTTAAGAATTAAGAATTTAAAATAAAACTCATAAATAATAAAGTTACATAATAAAAAAAATTAAATAATTTATAACATAATTTTAAGAATGTGTTCATGGCTATCTAATACTATTTGTATGATTCTATCTATAACAACTAACATAGGATTGGTATATGTCTCAATATGTGGTCTACCGCCATTTTGTGTGGTAATTGGAATAAAGTCTTAGTAAATAAGACCCCGGATAAGAAGTCCCAAGTAAAAAAAGACACTAAAAAATTACTGTAAATATTTAATTTAGTGTTTAGTATTATCAAAATTCTAAAAAAAATAGTAAATATTTTTAATTAAATAAAGTTATTAATATACATATTAATGATAAATGATAAAGAAATCACTGAATAAATTACTATTAATAATTCATTGTGTGTATTGTAAATTAGTTAAATAGATACACAAAAATATAAATTCCTATCTTTTTAACACAAATCAGTCAAAACCAAATAATAAGAAAAATTAGGTCTATGGTCGAAACATAAGAAAGAGGTATTTTAGATTCCAAGCAGAGCATGAATGAATGTAGTGATTTTACAATGATATAATTTTTTTTAATTTTTTGTCTGTCATCACTTTTTGGAAATGTAAAAAGTTTAAATTATAAATATCAGTCTTTTTTTAGTAAGACATTGAATCAAGTAAGTTATTTTGAGGGGTCAAATTTTGCAAATATTAACAGGAATTTTTTGCATGAGCAGTTTTTGAAAAAATTGATTCTCTTTGTTTGTTGTAATTAAAAAATGAATAGTTATATTAGGTATATTATATTTGAAATAAATCACCAAATGTTTATATTAGCACTTTTTTATACACGGTATCATTTTCAAAATATTTTGAATCTTTTTAGACTATTTTTGTCATACCCACTTTGTGAAATAGATATTTTTATGAAATTGAATTGGCTTTTTCACAAAATTACCAGTTTATCATAAAATGGTCACTCCAATTCACCAACGTGCAATTTTTTTTTATTGACAAAGATGTGGTTATTCACTTTATGAAATAACACATCTACCACACAAAATTAATATAATTATAGTAAAACTTTGGTAAGACAGAAATACCAGTAACACGGACAATTCTTTGGTCCCGATTCAAATACATAATGAATGTGAACCTTGTCATGTCGGACGTAAAAATTGGAAAGTCCCATGCAATTCTGTCTAAGTGTGGTTTTACTGTATTTATGTATGTCATATTTATTTTATCATACAATTTTTCAATTAGTTAAATCTATATTTTTAATGGGTAGCTATATTTGTAAATTAATAAGAAAAATATTTTGATTATTTAAAAAAATAAAAAAATAAATATACAAAAATAATTTTAGCCGTATATCGATTAAAAAATTGTATGTTATAATATTTTATTTGATACCTTTACATATAATAATAATGTGAAGTATAACTATTATTTTAGGACATAAATCTTGCAATGGATATAATTATATTTCTAGTGACTTTTGTATTATTTTATAAACCTGTCCAACCGTAAGCAGTTTGTTAAACTAAATGGGGTTTCATCTGGCTTATCAGATGTCACATCTGGTGTTCCACAGGGTGGTCATTTGAGTTATTTATTGTTTTGCCTTTATGTTAACTCATTTCAAGTTTCCTCAAAAAAGCTCATTTCCTTCTCTATGCTGATGACATAAAAATTTTCCTTAAAATTGAAACCCATTCTGACTGTTTACTATTATCAAATTAACTTATTCAATTTAATCATTGGGTATCCGCCCTAGGCCTCTCTTTTAATATTAGTAAATGTAATGTCATCTCCTTCTCTAGATCTCGAAATCCTATTCATCACCCTTACTTGCTTAACAACATTCTGCTGCAACGCGCATCTATTATAAAGATATTGGTATTTACTACTCTTCCACTCTCTCTTTTAACCATCACATTGATATTATTACGGGTCAAGCTAATAAGGTTTTAGGTTTTATTAAATGTAATACCAAGCTTTTTTCGTAGCCTACTTGTCTCCGTTCTTTATATTTTGCTCTTATTAGATCCATTTTAGAATATGGGGTTGTTGTTTGGCATCCATACCTTGCTAAAGATTAGCTGCTTCTTGAGCGAGTTCAGTATAAATTCCTTTATTACGCTGCTCTTATACTTAGATTACCAAATCCTAATCACAATTATTCTGATATTAGCCATTTTCTAAATATACCCTCTCTATCATCACGCCGCAATCTTATTGATTTACAGTTCATTCATTCTCTCCTTGACAACTCTATCGACTCTCCTGACCTACTATCGAAAATCTAATTTAAAGTCCCCTCTCACAATGTTCGAAATCACTCTCCTTATTACTATATGTATATATAATTTTATAGGTCGTAATAACAAAAAGGTTGGGAAATATTACACTATACAGTAGTTTTTTTTTTTAATTGTATTTATTTAAGTCATATTAAGGAAGACAATGAGTTGTGATAACAGCTGTTACATCTGTATGGATAACTTTTTATGAAAACATCGATTTCACGAAATGGATTTGACATATACAGCCATACAGGGTGATTTCCCAAGCATTCTCACCCCCATTTTTTCATTTGATAATGAATTTCTTCAAATTTTGACTTTTAGAATTTTTAAATATACTTAAGAACCATGTTTTTAAATCATTGAGATTTTTTCTATTACTTAAGGAGTTTTCTATGGTAATTACTAATTACTGTAAATTATTTAGTGGATATTTTTTTTTTAATTTGTTGATGTACTATTGATTCAAAATTCAAACGAGTAGTTTTTCAGTTATAAAATGTTTAAACTAAGGATCATTAAATATTCCTTAAAATGGGTCCTACAAAAATATAAAATCGATGTAATATTGGATATAGTATTTAGCGGGGTATTTAGTATATTATATTAAAACTTAGACGATTTTTATAAATTATAAATATTTCTTAATATAAATTACTTATATTTTCAAATTGCTATGGCCCATATATCTTCCAAACACACTATGGACCTATTAAACTAATTTAAATAACTCAAAAACTGCTCGTTCAAATATTGATTATGTTTTTGTCAACATTTTCAGAAAAATTATCTGTCAAATAATTTACAGTATAAATAGTGGGGGGGGGGTTACTCATTCGAAAAACTAGCTCCTTAAAAACTAAAATATTCTGAATTGTTTGTACTTGTGGTGATTGGATACATAATTTTTAAAAATAATTACGTCATAGGCGTTTCAAAAGATGATGCCTCTGATTATAGGAAGGTATAGTAGTAGATAAATATATATTTTTTTTTTTTAATGCTTGTAAAATAATTCTATAGGTAGTACCTACATTTTAAACTGAAAAATTCAGTTATAAATAATAATAATAAAAATGTTTTTAATGTTTTAGTCTATAAAATCCTAATAATTTTATTTTTATTTTTATTTTAATAATTACTTTTATCGTGTATAATCATAGTGCTTAAACAGTTTAAAATATAGGGCGTATACTATACTTTTATTATTACAGTAAACCACATATTTTTTTTGTATATCACTTATTGGGAGATAGCCATAACAAGGTTGAATATAGGTACCTACTATTCTTTCTTCAAAAATATTATACTAAAGACATTTTTAATTTATCTATGTACTATAAGACAAATAAGTAATATGTACTATAAGCCTAATTCCCTTAAAGTTTTAAATTTTTAGGTACTTGCTTAGTTTAATTCTTTGAGATGGTTATTAAATAATTAAAATAATTTAAGTGTAAAATCTAAATGCACAATACCAAAATTATTTTATAATCTAACCGTATTAAAAATATTATATAACCCTTTAAAAATTGAAAAAATTCTTAATTACAATACAGCTAGGATACTGAAATATCAAACTATAATATTATGATTTATGATATTCCGGTCTATAGACAAAAAATAGTATAAGTATATAATATACAATATATATTTGTAATAGATAGTATCAAAAAACTATGTTATTCAAAGTATATCTTTAAGATTGCTAAAATTTGTTCAACAAAAAGATATTTCAGAAATTGTAACATAAAACAGTTGAAACATGTGGGATATAATTATATGGTATAGATATTTAATAAATTTGATTAAATAAAAATATTATGAGAAATAC